GCATTTACTAATTTTCACCCGAAGTTTCTATTGGTCAGAGGAGATCCCAATCTCCGATTGGACGAAATTGGTGGTGCCACTTATCATGTGGGCTAGTGCTAGTGTGGCTAATGGCTTGTCACCCGAATACATAGTCGCGTTCTTTATTTGCATACTAAATGATACTTCTGGACATTCTTTATTTGTCTTCTAGAGTTTCTTTATTATTGAAAAACTAAAATAAATTCCATTGTTTAAGGTTATAGGTGAGTGAATATCAGCCTGGCCAACTGATATTTGATGTTGCTCTGTAATTCATAGTTGAGCTTCTCATAGATGGTTGTATCTGCTCTGTAAACCATAGTTGAGTGACGCATTTATTTCTAGTTCTCAATATGAACTAGACTCACTGGGGATTTCACTTGTGAATCGCTAACTCACATAAACACTTCTTTTAGTTTCTATTAGGCCCATTATAAAGTATTTCTTCAGTAAAAAGATATTACACGAAAGCTGGACCTCTTGACCGATGTTCTTATCCAACGAAATTATCCAGAGGTAACTTATGTGTTCGTACAAGATACGTCTAAATCCTATCGTGTAATTAAGACACCAAAGTATAGAATATCCAGATACCACCATAAGAAAACCTTGGAGACCCCTATACTCTTCTTAATAGTAAATAATTTAGTTTAAAGCTTCTATTATATTATAACATCACGTCACATAATAATATCAATTAAATTATCGATTTCTTTGATTAAAATAAAAAAAGATATAACGTATAATAAAAATAATAACTGGCTCTATATCCCTTCCCAATAATAAATAATTCAGTATAAAGCCTCCATTAATATTAGAATATCACGTCGCATAATAATATCAATCGTAATTATCGATTTCTATAAAATAAAAAAAGATGTAAAAACTCTTGTTAAAAATAATAATAGCGAATGTGTTAAGAAATGATGTAACTTACCAAATGTTGCTATAATATTATTATCTTCTCATCAATAAAGCGTGATATTTATGTCTATAGAAAGGAAAATGTATAAATTGTGGTGATGATTAAGAACTAACAAAGAAAGAGAAAGAAAAGGATAATATTTGTTACCCATTATAGTTACACAGATAATTCTTGTGAAAAACCCCTAACGCGATCACTGACGCGTCAATTAATACAACACGTCTGAAATTTTTTGTTTCACGTATCCTAAAAAATCGTTATGTCATTGCCATCTATAATTGTTAACACCGAAAAGGCTGATGTGCCATTTGATATTGAAGCGATTTTTGATATCAATGAAGTAGCTGATATGGATATTAGTGACAATGAGCTTGATGACACGCTTGATCGCATTCTGGACGCGACAGATGGAGTTGGCCAGATGTGGGAGATAGTGGATGATGATAACACAATGAATGAAGGATTACAAGAAATAGAGAGAGTCAAAACCTATTCTTTCCCAGTAGCAGAATACGAGAAATGGATCAAAGATCTCGGAAAAGCAGGACTCAACTATGTTCTACATGAACATCGACAACAGCCTGGTATGAGGAATAAAAATAAATGGACAGAACGATGGCAGTGTCATCGTTACGGGACGTATAAGAGTATTGCTGGAAAGAATCCCCACAAGAAATCACGACCTGCACAAAAAGAAACAAAAAAATGCGGGTGTAAAAGTTATATTCAAGTTGTGCTCCCCGTTAATTCTTCAACAATAATCTTAAAACACTACTATAAACATAACAACCATTATCCTGGTCGATTGTCAGACTTGTATACACTTCCTCTTTCCGAAAACATTCGACAATTCATTCGGCAACGTGCTCTGGAGGGACTTGACACTTATAGCATACAACGGCTCTTGCGACACCGAGCAATTGAGCTTCAGGATCAGGTACAGTTGTTAGAAAGGGAAGATCATGATAATAAAAAATCTTCGGACATTCAGCTATTGCGGGATGGGCTGATAACAAAAGATGACGTTTACACAATTGTGCATGATACAATGAAAGCGTGTTTTTACCTTGATGAAGATGAGCTAGAGTCTCTGAATAAATGGCAGGCGAAGTTGATTGTTGCGAATGGTTATTGTTTGTTTGAGCGTGGTGATGAAATGGTTGATACGGGATTCATGTTTGCTTTTCAAACAGAAAAACAAAAGGAATTAACACAACTTGCAAGAGTTGTATGTCTAGATGGTACACATGGATTGAATCAATACGGATACCATCTTTTTACACTTCTCATACGGCACCCAACAACAGGAAGTGGATATCCGGTCGCGTTTCTCATTAGCAAGTTCAAGCGATCCATTACATTAAAAAAATGGCTTGATTTCTTAAAAGCCAAACACGAGGAGTGGAGTCCAGACATTTTTATGGTTGACGATGCGGGGGAAGAGATTAAAGCAATCGAGGAGTGCTTTCCTAATAGTACAGTTCTGCTGTGCCATTTTCATGTGCTGAGATCTTGGCGCAGAAAATTGAATAATCACAACGGCATGAATGCTAATCCACATAAAACAATCGTTTGGAAAGATCTTTGGCGATTGATGAAAACAGAAGGTTGGAATGACAACGAAGCACAAATGCAAGTTGTGGAGGCGATTGATAAATGGCGGAAAATAGGTAATGAGGTGGTAAACGGCTTTGCTGATTACTTTGAACGTTGGTGGAAGCCAAAATATGAGAAGTGGATGGTGTGTTTAAGAGGAATTGCCAGAGATATGATAGATACGAATAATTTAATTGAGGCATTTCATCGTAAATTAAAATATGTATATATGAGAGGGCGACCAGGACGACGGTTGGATAGCGAAGTATATCTACTTACAGAAATTGTACTCCGAGACTTAGATTTCTCAGTTTTTTTGGATGACTTAAAAATTGGAAGAATGAATCCACGGCAACGACAACAGCGGATCCGGGAGATTGCAGGAACCATGTATGTTAATGAAAATGATATTTATAATCTTAACTCGGATACTTGGATAGTGCATTCAATGACGAATAATGATATAGAGTATTCTATTCGAAAAAGAGATCTTACAGATAATTTGGACGTTACCTCATATATCTGCTCTTGTCGTGATTTCCAAGTACGACAATTACCGTGTAAACACATCTTTGCTATTCTGAGCCGATTCCGAGTTCATGGTGATAGCATAGAGAACGACCAGCGTACCCAATATCAAATTACTGAGATAAATGATGCGACCACTGAGACCAGAAAGACAATTGATGAAACCACCAAGATTACTGAGATAAATGGCGAGACCACCGAAATCAATGATGAGACCACCAAGGTAAATGACGAGAACACCGAGACAAATGATAAGGATATGGAGTTTAAGAAGTTACAAGAAGAGTTTGGAGTAATTGCTGCAGAATGGAAGAATAAAGAGAAACAAGATATTCATAGTTTACGATTAACTATTCAACAAGCTGTCCAAATGGAAAGGACTAGAATTGCAAAGATTGAAGCTACACTAAAAGTTGCTAGTCGTAATGAGCTAAAAAGCTCTAATGTAGCACCAAGAACGGGATTTAAAAGACAAAATAGATTTTGAAATTTTATATACTTTAATAAATTTACACTTTACCATTACACTGCATAACTCATCTTACTAGCCACTCTGATCCACATGATAAGTGGCGCCACCAATTTCGCCCAATCGGAGATTGGGATCTCCTCTGACCAATAGAAACTTCGGGTGAAAATTAGTAAATGC